CTTACCACACACACACACACACACACACACTGTGTTGCAGCTGCTCAAGCATTGCGAGAGGAAGCTTCACCCTTTCTCCAAATCCTGCTCTTTCTAATTTTAGACGTTGGCTTTAAAAATAAACTGAAACAACATCTCCCACCGGGACCGTCGCTCTGCAAGTGCATCAGAACTTTCTCTCCACATTCCTAAACTTCTCACTCTGACACCGACATTAGCTAAAAAAATGAAGACCCCTGCTGAAATCAGTGCCAGTCGAGTGAGTAGAAACACATTCAGTCTTCACACATAGACGCTGTACCATGCCCCAAACGTTATCGCTTTTCTCCCTCCCTACTTTATCAGCAACGTAGGCCCCGCCTCCAGCTGACCTAATATGGGGACATCTTCCTGCCCGCTGGCCAATCAGCAAGCTGGCCCCGGTCCCTTCTGGAGATGCTGTGGTCCTGTGTCGGGTTGAGGTTTTCAGTGAGGGGAGCCACGGGCGGGCTGGTGACGAGGGATGAACGTTTTTGACAGAGAGCAGGACAATTTTAAGAAATACCACCAACAAGAGTGAGAGACTGAAAGTTCTTAGGGCGGGAAGACGATTGAAGCTCTGAAGGGAGACCCTGGGAAGGCCGGGAGGAAGGTAGGATGGACCTTCAGCTTGCATTAAAGCTTCAATGAGTAGTTCTGGAGAAAAAAAGTCAAGTTTTTGTCCTGTAGTTGTCATGGGAAGTTTTGCAGAAAGTTGCCGGGCCTGCGCAGCGCGGAATGACTGCACATGGCGGAACAATAGCATGCTGTTTCAACAAACACTTGAGTAGTGTGTGTCACCATGACGTTTAGTGTTTTGTGACAAGAGGAGCTCATGGAAATTAATGCTAACTACTTCATTCGGTATTGAGACAAGTCACGTTGGACAGGTTTTCCAGATTGTCAAGATAAAACAGCTTTTGTTGAGGTCCAGAAAAAAAAAATCATCGGAAAGTCAAGTGACGCAGAGCTGTCAGAGGTGCTGGCATGGCATCGACTTCGTTTAGTCTCGTTCTTAGCGTTACCCACAAGTGACAGCTGCAGCAGGATAGTCATTGGATCCGTTTGCCCCCTCCACAACAGAAATGGAGCCCTCCCCCACCTTA